CATTGTGGTGGGTGCCTGTAGTCCCAGCTACTCCGGAGGCTGAGGCAAGAGAATCACTTAAGCCCAAGAGTTGGAGGTTGCTGTGAGCTGTGATGGCACTGCACTCTACTGAGGGCAACAAAGTGAGACTGTCTCAAAAGAAAAAAAAAAAGAAAGGGAAAATAATTTGTTTTTCCTTTTGAGGCAGTCTCATTTTGTACCCCTGGGTAAAGTGCCATGGTGTCATAGCCTACAGCAACCTCAAACTCCTGGACTCAAGTGATGATCTCTCAGCTTCCCGAGTAGCTGGGACAACAGGCATGCGCCACCATGCCCACCTAGTTTTTCCATTTTATTTTATTACTTATTTTTGAGACGGAGTCTTACTTTGTCACCCTGGAGTTGAGTGCCCTGGCATCATAGCTCACAGCATCCTCCAACTCAGGGCTCAAGTGATCCTCTTGCCTCACCTTCCTGAGTAGCTGGGACTATAGGTACCTGCCAAAAGGCCCAGCTAATTTTTCTATTTTTAGTAGAGATGGTGTCTTGCTGTTGCTCAGGCAGGTCTTGAACTCCTGAGCTCAAGCAATCCTCCAGCATCAGCCTCCTACAGTACAGGTGTGAGCCACTGCACCCAGCTTCTCTCTTCTTTTTTTTTTTTGAGACAGGATCTCACTCTGTTACCTTGGCTAGAGTGAAGTGGCATTGTTATAGTTCGCAACCTCAAACTCCTAGGCTTAAGCAATCCTCCTTTCTTAGCCTCCGAAGTAGTTGGGGCTACAGGCATGCACCATTATGACTAATTTTTAGATTTTTTTGTAGAGATGTGGTTTTTGCTTTATAACTCAGGCTGGTCTCGGAACTCTTGGCTTCAAGTGATCCTCCCACTTTGTCCTCTCAAAGTGCTAGGATCACTTACAGGTATGAGTCACTGCATCCAGCCCCATTTTTCTTTTCGTTTTCCTTACTTTTTTTTAAGATAGTACCTGTTTTAGGATGAACACTAAAAGGGCTCTTCAGTAAATGATTGATTCCTTTGGTAACATTGATATCCAGCCGTGGAAAACAGTACTGGACCATAATCTCCCATAGCCAGGGTCCACATTTTTCATTTTTCACATTACTCTAAAAGCAAATATAAGGAGAACATGAAGATCAGTAGGAACATTTGATATTTTCTTTAAAGAAAGTAAAAAAATATGACCTTCAACCATCTTTAACTGACCAAGCAAAACAATCAGAATTAAGAGTTATAGTATTTGTCATATATATTTTAATGGAATATACCTGATATTTGCTAGCTGCTTTCTTCAAATGCTCCCAACGCTGATGTGAACTGTGAGACTTTTGGAAGTTTTGTTGAAGTTCATCATGAATTGGTGATGGGTCATTAAGGAACACACTCATTTAGGGCACATCAATGAACAACTTAGTTTTCAGTATGTATTATCACAAGGATATTTTATAAATACTTAGTAATTGTTAATGATCTTTAAAACACAAATGTTAGGGTGGTGCCTGTGGCTCAGTGGGTAGGGCACCAGCTCCATACATTGAGGGTTGCAGGCACCTGTAGTTCCAGCTACTTGGGATGCTGAGGCAAGAGGATCACTTGAGTCCTGAGTTGGAGGGTACTGTGAGCTATGATGCCATTGCACACTACTGAGGGCGATAAAGTAAGACTCTGTCTCTAAAAAAAAAAATAAAAACCCCACAAATGTTAAACATTTGTATCTCTGAAAAATTCCCTTGTAAAACGCAGTGGTGAGGCTAGGCACCTGCAGGTCAGCAGCTAGGACACTGGCTACATACACGGGCTAGTGGGTTTGAACCCAGCCTGGGCCTACCAAACAACAGTTAAAACTACAACAAAAGAACATAGCTGGGCATTGTGGTGGGCGCCTGTAGTCCCAGCTACTCAGGAGGCTGAGGCAAGAGAATGGCTTAAGCCCAAGAGTTTGAGGTTGCTATGAGCTGTGGCGCCATGGCATTCTACTGAGGGCGACATAATGAGACTCTGTCTCAAAAAAAAAAAAAAAAATGCAGTGGTGATATGACAAAAATGATGTCAAAATAACTATAAGCTGTAATGGAAAGCTTTCCCTGGTCTACATGTATTTTGACTAAAGGATTTACCATTTTTTAGCCATTAATTCTAGGACCAACTTCTAAAATGAGGAAGTTGACTGACAAAATGGCTTCAATCCTTACTGTACTCTGGACTAAAGAAATAAAACCCCAGAAAAATAATAGATATTTTCAGTAAAAAAAAAAAAATCAAACTTACAGGACTATGTGTCATACAAGCAGTCATGTCTACACATTTATAATATCACAGATGGATAAAACTAGTTCATACAGAGATGGTGTTGTGAAAGGATATTTTCAGGAACAAGAGCTAAAACCTTATCCCAGCTTTCTTTATTTTCAAGAATATCTTGATCAACCAAAGCATATTTTTCAAAGTACTTTTTAATTATGTTTACAGATCTTCTGTAGGAACAACAATAACAACAACATTATTAGCATAGGTATTGTTGCCCTTGGGTAGGAGACTACCACTTATTTTCACTGAATTTCTAGAACTTAACTAGGGAAAATGGGAATACCACCCTTTTGCCATGTTATGAGGATAAATGAGGTGCTTTAAGGGGAAAGAGCCTAGCATAGTACCTGCAACAGAGTAAGTATTCAAGAAATGTTTACTTTTTAAACTCCACAACCTAGAAGGTTAATATAATAGCATCATAAATATGCAACAAGGGTAGAAAGCAACCAACTCAGGACAACATAATATATTAGTAGTAGAATGTGGAATACGGTCTATAGTTTCTACTTTGAATTTTAATGTTTTAATATCTCAACAATCATATAATACTTGTATTTGGCAAATACATTTCACATTTCCTGTCTCATTTAGTCTTTATCACAGCTTTGAGATAGGCAGAGCAGATGTTATTCTCCCCATCATACAGATAAGGAAATGGAGCCTCCAATATTTAATCAAGGTCATAGTAAGTGGCAGAATAGGGATATTTATTCCTAACATAACACTCTTTCCACTGTCCTAGAGAAGTAGAGAATTCAATGGAAAAAGCACAGGCAGACCAGGACATGAACCCAAAATTTGACAAATATTTGCTGTGCAGTGCTAAGCAAATTATATTCTCTCTCTAAAACCCACTTTCCTTAACTGTAAATAGTGATGCCGTCATATCTCTCATAAGGTTGTTGTGAAAACCAAGGAGAACAATTGTAAAGCACTTATCATGGACACTGCAGCAAAAAATAGGCACTCAGTTAACTATGGCTATTAGTATAAAATACTATCCAGCAATGAAAATTAAAAGCAAGGCGATTCTATCAATAAGAGCACATGCAGGTAAATCAGACACAACATAAACTTCATGGAATCAACAGACCTGACAAAAGGGTGAATTTTTTCACTTAGGTGAACTTTCTTTTTAACATCTTGACCACCCTAAAAAAATCATCAAAAAAAAAAAAAAAACTTGATGTATATTATATCATATAAATGAAATATAGTCATGTGCAACCTAATGATAGACTTCATATAAGATGGCAGCCCTATAAAATAATACTGTACTTTCTACTGTACCTTCTTCGTGTTTAGATATGTTTAGCTACATAAATACTCACCATTTTGTTATAACTGCCGGTAGCATTCAGTACAGAAACATGCTATGCAGGTTTGTAGCCTAGGAAGAACAGACTGTACCACCTAGCATAGGTGTGTAGTAGGTTGTATTCACCGAGTTTGTGAACATATAGGTCTGTACACTCTGTCATGTTTGTATGACACATTTCTCAGTATATAGCCCTGTCATTAAGTGGTATGTGACTAAAATTTTCTTTAACATGTTATTTAACATTATGTAAATTCAAAGATACTCATTAAATTCTGTCAAAATATAGAAGTCTGGATGGTACTTTATGTAGTCTCAATACCTGTACCTTTCTGGGCTAATTTTACTTGACATAAATGAACTAGAAAAGCAAATTAATTTTTCTGTTAGTACAAAGGAGGATACTTACAGCAAAATAAAATATCTTAAAATACGTAGCTATTGTAACTTTAAATTATCTATTGGTAGAATCATCTACTCTTAAATATAAATGCTATAAAAGACAGTTTAATTTTCTTTATTATTAAATATACCAGGTATGGTAACATCTAGTAAATTAAGCAATGGAAATTTACAATTAAGAGGACCTTACCTTTACAAGACTCAAATACTCAACTATTCCAGAACGTACAGTAGAGGACAATTTTCTGGCTCTTTCATCACAGACCCAACAATGAACACCTCTCCTTCCAGAATATACCCAGAGACAATGCTTAAATCCAAAGTCCTCTGAGAAGGGGAGAAATAATAGGTTTTCACCAAAAATGTATAAACTCCTTGTTCTTGCTTAGTTTTTTTAAGATTCACTTTTTACCTGATTCATATGTACTCTTACCTTAACTATACTAAATTATTTGTAGTTTCCTGTCCTTCCCATGTTCTTGCCTTGATCTCTTTACCCACTGTGATCTCTCTGTCAAGAATTTCATTATGGCCAGTGTTTTCATTTCTCCCTAACAATTGCCATTTAACCTTAAAGACTTAGCCTAGAAGTATTAAAATAATTGACATATTTATAGTGCTTAGAATATCATCATCACCTTATTAGGCTTCCTTCTTTTAGGAAGCCTTGTCTGACCTAATCTCTTCCCATTCCTACATATACTACTGTGGTATATCTCTCCACACCTCTCTGTACACAAATATAATCCTCAACGTTCTTATTGGTCTCCTTCTAAGACTATATAACCTATTTGAGATAAAAATTTTTATTTTCCCTCACCTACAATAGTTCCTAGTACGCACAGTTGCTCAACTGATGATGAAATTAGAAAAAAAACCCAAATCCACACTGGTTTGTTCAATAATTTAAAATTTCTACTTCAACTTTATTTATTTATTTTTTGAGACAGAGTTTTACTTTGTTGCCCTCGGTAGAGGGCCATGGTGTCATAGCTCATGGTAACCTCAAACTCTTGGGCTCAAGCACTACTTTTGCCTCAGCCTCCCAAGTAGCTAGGACTACAGGCGCCCATCATAATGCTCAGCTATTTTTTTTTTTTCTTTTTTTAGAGATGAGGTCTTGCTATGACTCAGGCTGGTCTTGAACCTGTGAGCCCAAGCAATCCACCCATCTTGCCTTCCCAGGGTCCTAGGATTAGAGGCGTGAGTCACTGTGCCCAGCCTTTCAACTTTATTCTTATATTTTATTTTCCTATTGTATATTTCAAGGAAACATATTAGAGGTTTATGAGATTTGATTATGAAACACAGTGAGTAATATTTATAGGGAAACAGGTTCTTGATTTTACTCAGACACTGCTGATACTTGCCCTTCAATGTCCGGTCGATGATGTATATGGCCATTGTCATGAGGGTCCAGCACTTAGAGCAAATGTCTGCAGAACTGGAGCAGAGTCATCATTACTCACTGTCAATGACATTTCCCACCCCAACAGCAGGCACAGGGGCTTACCTGCAACATCTCCTCACATCATCATAGTCTGTCATGTCAATATCAAACACCAGTTCTTTTTCCTGAGGCTGGAAAACCCCCAGCTTCACTGTATTGTGTTGACTGGGCTACAAATACAAAATATCAGTTTCCTTAAGAGCTGCCATGTTGCTAAATATGCTTATTTTTCTACTCACATGGAAAAAGTGGCCAAAGAGAAAGAACTTATACAGAGCCAAGCCTATATTAGTTAAAATTCATTACTTTGGATCCCACATACAGAATTGATAACAGTTTTAATTTTCACTCACTTAAAACAGGGTTTGATGAATAAATATCCACAATAAATATATGTTGGTCAAGAAAAATCATTAAAAAGCTGTTTTTAATTTTTTTTTGGACAGAGTCTCAAGCTGTTGCCCTGGGTAGAGTGCCGTAGAGCCATAGCTCACAGCAACCTCCAACTTGGGCTCAAGTGATCCTCTTGCCTCAGTTTTTCTATTTTTAGCAGAAAAATAGAAAATAGAAAATTTTTTCTCGATTTTTACTCAGGCTGGTCTTGTACTCCTGAGCTCAAGTGATCCAAGTGGGAGGACACCTGAGCTGAGGAGTTTGAGGCTATAGTACACTATGATCACACCTGTGAATAGCTGCCATACTCCAGCCTGGGCAACATAGTAAGACCCCCACCTCTGAAAATAACCTGCCAACTAAATATAGGTACTTAATTTGCTCCTTCCAAATCACACAAAATCAACAGGCAAGTTTTTATTTTTTTAATGGAATATACCTTTTAACAAAGAATCAGAGAGGAGACCAAATTACCACAATTTCATAAGTATAAATCAGAAGGGAGTGGTAAATGAAGAGACTGATAAAAGCAAAATCTTAGGCTGTCAGTATGGGAAAGATAAGCAGCAACCCAATTTACACTTGGGAACTCCCAAAATGCTCAGGAATAGGTGATACTAGGTATCTCTGGAAAGAGTAAATGTTTGCATGTGGTAGTGAAGCTGAGATCCAAAACAAGAGGGTTGGTTCTAAGACTACTGAAGAAGCAGTTAGCTCCACAGATTCCTACACTTAATGTGGAGCTAGGTAACTGATCTTCCATTTTCCTGGCAGAAGATACCTGAATGATCTATTTAGAGAGTGAAAAACAGAGAGTCTCTGGACACTGGGGTTAGTTAGTGGGGGAAGCAAGAGGCACAGTGAAGAAGAGTGTGTCATAATGATATTAGGGGGATTAATTAGACATCTGCATGTGGAATGTTAAGACATACAGCCCTTTCTCCCTCCTTGTGTACCCTACTAACCCAGGCAGGAGACTGGAAGATTCCTTTCTGAAGAATATGACTAGATGTGTCAGGTACTGATCTAGGCTCTAGGGGATAGACCAGTGATCAAAACAAAGATCTTTGTGCTCATGGAGTTTCCATTCTATCAATGATCTAGGCCTAATAACATGGCCTAGCCAGACTACCCTGTAGTAAAAAAAAATCTCAGACCCATGTACAGAGCTTCCAATGAGCTTTTTTTTTTTTTTTTTTTTTTT